ACAGCTAGTGACAGTGGAGCTGGGATCTGAACATGAGCACCCTTCATAATCATGCTGTTTGCTCCCCCACCCACTCACGCACTCACTCCTACCTTTGCCAGGTGGCATTTACAGATTGCCCTTTAAAGCAAAGATCTCGAGGACGGAAAGCCTGGCAGGGTGGGTCCAACCTCCTGGTTTTGTTGCCATGGATTCGCTATGGACCGTTTGGCTCAGAAACAGGCAGGCACACAAGCAAGTTTGGTGAACAATTTCAGGGGGTTCAGAATCAGTCCCCGGGCTTATTCATGACTCGTCCAGCCTCGCAAGCTAAGGACAGTTGATCTAATGTAACCCCGAGTTATATCCCCACAGGCTCGTGGCCTGTGCATGAGACTTGGCTGAGGCATCGATTGTTTAGTGCCTTAAGCTAAATAGTGATGAGTGATCATCTTGGCCTCAGCATTCTCATTTCCAACATACAGAATCATTAGACACAGGGCTGGCTCACAGGTGTGCAACCCGGCGGTCACACAGGGCCCCACGCTTGCTCAGAAGGGCCCACACCCCGGCTTCATGCTCTGCTGTCACCATCTTGAAATTCTTCCTAATTTTTAAACAAGTGGCCTCAAATTTTCATTTTGCACTGGTCCCCGTAAATTATGGAACTGGTCCTCATAGATACTGTGGCATCCAAGAGAGGCCCCCAGGGTACTGGACGCTTGAAAATGATAAGTACGGGGCAGGTATGAATAGCTCCCTGGCAACGACCTGGAGTGATTGGTTCTGGTTTTGCCGCCATGTTACAGATAAGGAAAGCATTTTGTAAATGCAGTCAATCCCTGAAATATCTAGTGCGTAGTAATTAGTGAGCAATGAGTCTAGAATTTTGCCTATTTGTATAAATTCCCCGTCTATTTTAAACACACACAAAAGTTGAATCTCTGGGGACCTTGCCCAGCTGTGCAGATATTTTTATTCTGAAAACATCGAGTTGTTATTTTAAATGGCCTCATGCTCATTCAGGAGGCACTTAGATCTTTCTCACCTACTGATCACAGCAGAATCCAGTTCCCAATGGACATGAACGTGATTAGATCCCCCCAGTGTGAGAGAGATTGTGTCTGAAGGTGTCTCTCCCCACTCCGCTCCTGCGGAGGCGGTGATGTGTCCCGTGGGGCAGGGAGGGGCGGGGAGGTCGGAGGGCTGGCCGTTCCTCACAGTTGGAAACAGGTGGCTGTCGCTTTAGCACCTGTTATTCTCGACCAGTTCTGTGCGGAAGCCGGTGTATCAGGCCAGAATTCAGTAATTCGGGTTCCACTTGTACAAGCTATTTATCCCAAACTAGTTCACTACCTGGATGTCTGGGCCTGACCGAACTGTGATGAGTTAGAAACAGTACGGACCACTAGCTCAAAAGGGAACTGAAAGTTTTCTATTTTTATAGTGAAAAAAAATTTGTGATACCTTTAAATGCTAAAAGAAAGACTACATTTCCTAATTAGCCTTCTCTAGTAAAATACTTCTCCCAGCTCCCTGTGCCAAAGGATATATTGTTCCCACAACTATTAGATTACAAAGAAAAGAAGTTTTTTGAAAATCATAGTGTTGTATCGCTAGAACTGAAATTATGCCTGTCATTTTATGTTTGTGTCCATGGAGCTCTTGGCCTGTTTCATTATACTAATTCGTGAGTTGTTTTTTTTTTCCTTTCTGTAGGAAAACCCTGTAGCCCTTCCTTCCTTCCTTCCTTCCTTCCTCCCCTCCCTCCTTCTAAAAAAATTAACTGGTTTCTTAGTTTTGTATGATGTTGTTTTGTTTACTACCTAATTTTGGGTATGAGCTGGCATCCTCCCATGAGTAATTCATTAATAATAGTAACATACTGCATTTAAAAATATACATGTGGTTCTGACCAGTGTGGCTCAGTTGGTTGGACATCGTCCCCAAAACCGAAAGGTCACCGGTTTGCTTCTGGCCAGGGCACATTCTTAGGTTTGGGATTGGTCTCTGGTCAAGGCACATATAGGAGGCAACCAATCAATGTTTTTCTCTTAGAACCTGTTGTTTGTCTTTCTTCTTCCTTTCCGCTTTCTCTAAAAATAAGTAAATAGCCCTGGCTGGTGTGACTCAGTGGATTGAGTGCCAGCCTGTGAACCGAAACGTTGCTGGTTTGATTCCCAGTCAGGGCACATGCCTGGGTTGCAGGCCAGGTCCCCAGTTGGGGGCATGTGAGAGGCAACCTATCAATGTATCTATTGCACATGGATGTTTCTCTTCCTCTGTCCTCCTCTCTCTGAAAATAAATAACATCTTTAAAAATTATGTATTTAAATATTATAATGGAGTTTGATTGCATTAAATATAACTTACAGGCTGGACACTGAAATAAATTCCCAAGTGTGTTTTTAAACACCCAAGCGCTACGCTCTGTGACAGGCACTGTGAACCCTGAGCTGATGGAAACCCAGCTTTAAATGGGTTGTTTCAGTTAATCCTCATAACCACCCAAGTAAATAGTATTACTGTCCTTGTATTAGTCCTAAGAAAAGAGCAGAGAGGTTAGATAACGTGCCCAAGAACACACAGGGATTGAATGGCAGTGCCAGATACAAAACCAGATGTGCCAGACTGCAAAGCGTGATCACGCATAACTTACTTGTGTCGCAGGAGCCCTGGTTAGTTCAGCTGAAAAGGGAAACTAAGAGGGTGACGGCGTTCACAGGGCCTAGTGCTCTCGTTGATTAGATCTCTTCCTTTGCTTGCAAATAAAACTAATGTATGACGTCTTGTGATTTGATCTGTTTCTTTTGGTCTCTAGAGAAGAAGACTCACTTGTTTCTAAGCATTGAGCTGGGGGGGTTAAGCTGTCTTACGTTTGGGCTTCAACCCAACCCCTAACAAGCCACGTGGATGAGTGCAGGTCGCTTTTCCGGGACTCAGTTTCCCCCAGCCCTGAACGTGGGGATAATGACAGGGACCTCCTCAGTGACATTATGAGGGCTCCATGAGAAGAGTCATGTAAAATGCAAGTAGAAACCGGTGGCTGCCTTATCAACTTCATGCATTCTGCTCAGTGACTGAAATTCTTCTTAAAAGTTGACAAACCTAGTCATTAGAAAATAGAACTTCCTTTTTATTTTTTAAAAGACTTTATTTTTTTATAGCAGTTTTAGGTTCACAGCAAAATTGAGTGAAAGGTGCAGAGACTTTCTATCTGTCCCCTGGTCCCCATACAAGCTCAGCCTCCCCCACGGTCCATATCCCCACGAGATGGGACATTTGTTGTAATGGGCGAATCTACGCTGGCCCATCATATTGTTCACCCAACATTCATAGTTGATCTTAGTGTTCACGCCTGGTGTTATACCGTCTATGGGTTTGGACAAATGTAAAATGACAGCTACTCACCACTATGGTGTCACACAGAGTGTCTTCACTGCCCTCAAAAGCCCTCTGTGAGCCCTGGCTGGCGTAGCTCAGTGGATTGAGCGCGGGCTGGGAACCAAAGTGTCCCAGGTTCGATTCCCAGCCAGGGTACATGCCTGGGTTGCAGGCCATAACCCCCAGCAACCGCACATTGATGTCTCTCTCTCTCTCTCTCCCTCCCTCCCTTCCCTCTCTAAAAATAAATAAATAAATAAAATCTAAAAAAAAAAAGCCCTCTGTGTCCAGGGATTCATCCTTCTCCTTCCACATCACAGCTATCTGAAAAAAATAGATATAAAAAAGTCCTGGATTTCTGGCTTCTAAAATCTTATACTCATTGAAATTGAAAGAAGAAATGGACTCTCAAGAAGTAATTGGAAAACGAAATTGGAAATGAATAAATAAGGAAGAGGGGAGCCAACGTGAAAGTAGATGAGGAAAACCACGGAAATGAGCTCGGGCAGATGTTGTAGATAGTGGCAGGTAGCTCCGGAAATAAAAAGGTAATTTATAAACAGGTTATGGGGGGGGGGTGGAGATCTTAAATAAATACCACGGTTTGAGAAGTAGGAATCGATGGGAAGTTTTTAAGTCCAGATGTGGTGTGATTCAATCAGTATCAGGTAGAATCACTTAGGGATTTACTATTGACTGTTTACATAGCACTATGTGTCAGCCACATAGTAAGATAATTTGGGGAAACAGTGATGAATCAAAGCAGACACAGTGTCTGTGGTAGGCAGCCTCTCAGAGGATGCCAATGACCTTCACCTCCTGGTATCCACACCGTGGCTGTGAGCTGACCCCAGTGACTCAATTCTAGTGAATAGATTATGACAAAGGCGAGGGGTGTCTTCTCAAAGGTTAGGCGACACAAAGACCGTGACTTCCATATTGCCCTCTTGCTCTTTCTAAAGTGCTTACTTGCCCCCAGGCAAGCCACACGTGATGTTGTGAGCTGTCCCACAGAGAGGCTCAGCTGGCAGGAACAGAGCAAGGTCCCCAGCCACAGCCAGAGAAGAACTGTGTCCCTCAGTCCAACAGCCCGTGAGAAACTGAGTCCTGCCCACGACCGTGTGAGTGAGCTGGGAGTGGGTCCTTCCCAGCTGAGCCTTCAGATGAGGCTGCAGCTCCAGCCGACACTTTGGATCGTACCTTGAATGAGAAGCATCCACTGAGTGCTACATCCAGATCTCAGACCTACTGCCATACATTCTCCTGGTTTTACGCTACTGTGTTTGGGGATAACGTGTTACTCAGCATCGGATAACTAATAGGTCTCTGTCCTCATGGAATTTACAGCTTAGCGGGAGTGAAAGACGTCAGTTTAATAGGATACCAACTAGCCTGACATTGCAGCTATGTCACGAGCATGAAACTAACAGACCACACGGCGGAGCAGCCTGATTTTGTGTCTGAGGACCAGGCTTTCCTGGGGAATGACGGTTAAGTTGGGATTTGAAGAGTCCATGGCCTTCACGTGGCAATCCGGGATGGGAGGAGCATTTCCGGCAGCAGAAGCAGCATGTGCAAATGTCTCACGGAAAGAGGAAGCACGAGTGAGGCCGGAACTCAGAGGAGGAGGCAGCGGAGGGACTACATCCCATCACATCTCCTAGGTCATGTTAAGGGATCTGGTCCTCATTTCCAGCCCAGTGAGAAGTGTGGGAGGCGGCATGCTCTGATTTTCCGTTTTAGAAGCGTCCTCCGGCAGTGGAGCAGGGAGAATGGATTGGACAAGGACGGGAGTGCATACGGGGACCAGTCTGGGGGGTTCCTCCCACTGTCCCGTCCAGGCAGGTAGATCAACAGTCAGTAGATTGAGTGGGTGCCAGTGCGAGATGAAGACGTGTGGACTGCCTTCAGGGACTGCTAAGCAGCACAATTGGTGAGACTCGTTGGTGGTTTTGAGGAGGAGGGTGAGGAGGAAGGAGGTGTCCAGACTGACTCATAATGTTTTTAACAGGGGAAGCAGGAGAGACTGGAAGAAGAGAAGCTATTCAATTATTTAGGTAAGAGGTTATGAGGACGCCAAGTCGATGACAGGCGGCCTGGCGGAAGGATCCCTCGGGCACTGCAGAGAAAAATCAATGGGATTTGGAAGCTGATTGGTTGGGTGGAAGCCTCGTGGGAAAAGGAGGAATTTAGAAGGACACCAGCCCCAACTGTTCCTTGCCATCTCTGTCTTGAATATGCTGAGTGTGATGACGGATACACATCACATGCACTGCCTTCAACTCTGTCCATTTGCACAGAAGTGAGCTGGCCTGTGAATGGTGGAGGTAAGCGGCGCAAAAAGAGGATGATAAGAGTTTTCACCAACACATTATTGTTATTAAAGCCAAAAGAAAAAACAGTGCTGTTTCAGTGAACCCATCGGGCACACGTAGGGACTCACTGCAACCACAGAAACTGACCTGGATGAGCTGCGTGATGGACGGCCACGTTGGCACTCGAACAGGGCTGGGCTGATTCTCAAGTTAGAACTGTCAGGCCAAACGGGTTGGAACGAAACGAAATGATTTTCATTTGGGAGGAGCCATTTGCATGAAGGGATCAAAAAATACACACACACACACACACACACACACATACACACACATACACATATGTATTTAATAAATAATATACCAATACCTAATACAACATATAATTACTATACTATATAATAGTATGTATAAACAAAAGGAGAATATATGATAAGAATTATACTAATTTATAAGTGTATTTACTACTTCAAATTAAAAATAAGGAATAAAAACCCAGTTTTAATTTATATAGTAATGTATTTATAAATACAAGATGTAATATATATATAAATAGATATCTTCCCTTGATTTATCATCTTCAAATCTTTGATAATCTTTCAACCCAGGGGATGCCCATGAGCAGATTAATGGCATACACTACACCACGGTGTCTCGTCCCGTGTCATGCTCGCGGACATTACAGTCTAGTGAATCATTCCACCCACCCCCAAAAAGCATTTAATCTGGTCAAGATTAAGAACCTACTTACAGGCACTGATGAATTTAAAGCATACAGGCCCACAGGCATTTCAGCTTACCTCCTTCCCTTTCAACCCCAACAAATTAGGCTGGTAGATACCGGGCCGCTTGAACAACGAGGAGAGGCGCTTCACCCTGTGTGCGAGAGGAGGACGGCACAGAGCAGGACCGACGACAGCCACCGTCTCTCACCGGTCTCTCCGCTCCCCTCCCGCCATCCTCCCGTGACCCGTGACGGCGGACGCAGAGACCTTTACAAAAGTGCATCGGATCACGCCGCTCTGCTCCGTCCGTCCTCAGACCTTCCACCGCAGTTTGCCAGTCTGACCTGAAACAAAATCCAGGCGCCTCACCACCTCTCGCCTCTCTCCCCTCACTCACGAGCAAACTGCACCACCTGCAGTTCCCTGCCGCTCCCACGCGAGCCTGGCCCTGCCGCGGGGCCTTTGCGACGGCTGTCCCGGCTGCCAGGAACATGCTTTCCCTCGAGTTTCCCGTGGCTGGCTTCCCCCCGTGCAAGCCTGGGTCTAAGTGGAATCTCATTTGAAAACTCGCCCCTACCTCTCAGGCCCTCTCCCCCAGGACACCCCTTGACTACCGCAGGAGCACAGCCACCGGTGCCTGAAATGCTCTCACTAGCCGAGTGAGGGAGCGGGTCTGGGGCTGTCTCTCTCACTGGGGTGCCAGCTCCCTGAGGGGCATGCCTGGCCTGGTCAGTCTCCTCCACTGCCCGGCACTTAGTAGGTGCTCAACAGGGTGTGTCTGAAATCGATTTGTTGCCACTGGGACGGCTGAAGGCTGGCTTGGGAGCCTCATAGTGACCATTCTCCTAGCAGTCTTTTAACGTATTCAAATCTGTCGCTGCAGGCGGAATCCACGCAACTCAAGCAAACCGCACCACGTGGTGATTGGCAGCCTAGCTGTGAGTCAGTAGGGTTGGCAGGGGAGCAATTGCTTACACATTGTAGTGTGGTGTGGCACTGGTCATCCGCCTCCTCCCAAGGCTTAAGATAACTATTTTTAGACAGCCTTACTGAGATACAATTCGCACACCACACAGCTCACCTCTTCCAAGCACCCCGTTAGCAGTTTTTAGTGTATCCAGAGTTGTGTAACCTTCACCACTATCGTTTTCCAGAACATTCCCCTCCCTCAAAAAAAAAAAACCCTCTTACTCATTAGCCTCATTTCCTCTTTTCCCCTCAGCTCACCTCCCTCCAGTACTAGGAAATCACTGATCCGATTGTCGTCTCTGGGGATCTGCTTCTTCTGCACACTTTACAAACCACACAGCCTGTGTTCCTTAGAGACTGGCTTCTTTTACTTAGCATCATGTTCTCAGCTCCTCCGCGTTGTAGCACCCAGCCCCAGTTTCCCCCTTTTCATTGCCAAATACTCCATTTTATTTATCCACTCACCCATCGAGGAACACGAGGGTTATTTCCATTTATTTATTTTTGCCTGGTATAAGTATATGCTTTCGGTTATCTTGGGTGTACACCCAGGAGTGGAACTGCCAGGCCCCACGGTGACTCCATGGGCATCCTTTTGCGGAACCGCCAGACCGCTCTGCAGAGGACCTACGCCCTGTCACAATGGTGCATGGGCTCTGGGTGGGGGGTGGGGGGCACTCAGCTCCGCCAGTGACACGCAGGTCCAAGAGCAGCAAGACGCCAGGCTGGTGGAGAAGGCTGGCCGGGGCTGGCAAAGGGAGTGGGGTCCCTACCAGACAAAAACCTGATTGTTGCAGCCGGAATGGAGGGTTGAGGCTAACAAAGTGTTTCTCTGTCTGTGGTCCGGGCTGGGGGGGGGGGGGGGGAGGATTTTCGTGGTGCGAGGACAAGGCATGGATCCCAGGGAATCCCAAAGTGAGAACGCCACGCCTTCTCCTCGTCTGGTCCGTCCTGCGATTGTGCAAAGAAGAACGTGGAGGTGGGACGCTGATGAGTCTTTTAACACCTCTCGAAGACTTTCAAATCTCCTTTTGGAGAAGAGGGAGCGGGGGGTGGGGGAGGGGACCGAGAGATGGGGGAGGGGGAATGCTGTATGGTTGTGATTAGAATTGAGCTTTTTTTGGCATACGTTTTTAAAAGTGGTTGCCTTATATTTATGGAATATGATATTGACTTTCCCTTTCCAGCAGGTATTCAGAATTTTCTTTCAAAAATCTGTTTAAAAATAGAAACAATATTTTAAAAATAAGTGATGGGAATACTCTTGTATGGTCCATGAAGAAGTTTAAAACCGATGAAGGCTCTTAGCAGAATAACAGTTAGGTGGTGCTGGGTCTCTTTACAATGTGACCGTCGCCGCTGTCAGACTTCCATGCCAGCCAGCTTCACTCAGTCAGTACTCACTATCCTGGTCCTTGGGGGGGGAAATTGAGGCATAAAAAAAGCTTAGTTACTTGCTCGGGGTCACCCCATCAGGAAGCAGCAGAGCTGTGACAGGTGCCCAGGCAGCTGGCACCTCTCCTGCTGTTACGGTGGCGGCGTGTGCACCAGTGAGGCTTGGGAGACGCGGGGTCAGCGCTGCGCTCGCTCGCTCGTGAGCAAAGCTGCCCACTCACAAGGACTCCGTAACTGCCCTCCCCCGCCCCCTCCACGCAGTGGGTCCCCAGTCACCCCCTGGCTGGAACCGGGACCCTGCCCTTCCAACCACTGCTGAATGGAACAGGGGCGAGGCTTGATCCGGCCTGGGCCAATCCGACTCTCCCCAAGTTTACTAGAAAATGAAACGATTGGTAAACGTTTTCACTCAGGAAACTCAGAGAGAAATAACTTCAGAAAGAATAGAAGAAAGGAAGGACTCAAGTCAAATGTAAAACTGACCAAGTAGAAACCAAACAACAACAACAACAAAAGGGTGGGAGGATTTAATCATTTTATAGATGAAGAGGCTGGAGCTGAAAGAAGCTGGATACCTTCTCCGAGGCTGGGAGTTACCAGGGGAGCAGAGGACTGAGATTGGAACCTGGATCTCTTCAGACTCCAGGGCCCGCGTTCTTAGCTTCAGGGGGATTGGGGTATGGGACCTCTCGGCTGAGTCGGTTCTTTCTTAAGAGTTTGATGGGCAGTGACCTCTGGCTCTGGGCGGCCCTTCCGCCGGCCCTGGCAGGCCTGGGGGCGGGGGGGAGGTGCCGAGGCGGGACTCCTAGGCGGGGTGTTCACTGGCTGTACATGGGGGAGCAACCGGACTGCAGCCTGGGGGACTGGCAACATTTCTGCACCGAGAGGAGCCATCCCGGACTGTCGGGTGCCTGGTGAACTGACAGGTGACCGGCTGGTTCCGATGGGCTGGGGACTTTCCCAGGTTCAGCACTGAGGGGGGTGTCCATGTCCTGGGAAACCCCTCCGTCCTGAGCACCCGTCCTGGGATGATAGGTCACCTTAGCAGACTGCCCTCAATGTTGGAGCATTCCAGAACATTCTGGAGGTAGCACCCTTGTCCTCAACACTCATGAACTAAGAATGACAACATTCGTGAACCTGAAGCACCTGTCACAGGTGATTACCTGGTCCCCCTTCAGACGGAGAGTCAAAGATTTACTGGTATTTGGCCCAGGAATTTGCATTTCCCAGGGTTAATTTATTGTACCCTGAAGTTGGAAAAAGCAAGCTTGCAAATTATAGAACGCTGGCCCAAGATGAAGATCCTGGTAACCGCCACTGTGGTTGAGGACGAGGCGAAGAGGAGGAAGTGGAGAGAAGCGGGCTTTGGATCGGAACAGGCACCCGATTTCCCGTTTGTCTCCGGGAAATAAGTGAGCTCCCCAGGCCCCTGTTTTCTTGTGCATTACATGGGGGTCGTTAAGGGATATAACACACGCGACCCCTGGGACCTAGTAAGTGCCCGATAACGTTTAGCTCCTCTTCCTCCGAGGCTGAGAATCACCACAAGAATGGGGACAAAAAGCCCACACAGAAAGTGCTTTTCAGAATATTTTCCCATTAGGGCCCCAGTTTTAGAAAAAGGATCTTTAGAATTTGGCATCTGAAAAAATAAAGTCTCCCCCCAGCCCCCAAGAAATGATCCTATTTTCTCCCAGATTTCTTCTCTTCACGGCTGGGCTCTTGGGAAGCTCAAAGGCAAACTCGGGAAATGCAATCACTTTAAAAGCGACTCTTGAGTCAGTGTATTTGTCCAGGTTCTCAGCTGTTCTTACTGCAGATCTAATATTGATCTTCTTAAGCTTTTTCTTTGGAAATAACTAGAACTTCAAAGGAAGTTGCAAAGACAGCAGAGGTCCTGTATACCCTCCTACTGCCCGCCCCCACCCCCATGGTTACTTACATCTTACACAGCTCTAGGACACTATCAAAGCCAGACAGTTGACACTGGTCCAGTGTGTGCACGCGTGTGTGTAGAGTTCTGTGCCAATTTGTCACCGGTGTAACCAGCGCCACAGTCAAGACACAGGACTGTTCCACCAGCACAGAGATCTCCAGTGACCGTCCCCCTTTTACCCATACCCAGTCCTCTGTGCCTCCCTGTCCTGACCCCTGGCCACCGAGAACCCATTCTCCCTCTTCAAAATTGTGTCATGTTGAGAATGTCACATCAGTGCACACATATAGTGTGTGACCTTTCGAGGCTTACTTTTTTTACTCAACATAATGTTCTTCAGACCCATCCAAGTCGTTCCGTGTATCAGCAGTTCATTTCTTGGCATTACTGAACAGTACTCCACATTTTATCATTACATAAAGATAACACTGGAAATGTTATATTATCACTGTATTATTTAAATCATCTCGCCCTGGCTGGCGTAGCTCAGTGGATTGAGTGCGGGCTGCGAACCAGTGTTGCAGGTTCGATTCCCAGTCAGGGCACATGTCTGGGTTGCAGGCCATGACCCCCAGCAACCGCACGTTGATGTTTCTCTCTCTCTCTCTCCCTCCCTTCCCTCTCTAAAAATAAGTAAATACAATCTTTAAAAAAAATCATCTCCACATAATTCTAAGCCAAAGGTGCAGTTCTGAATAGGATACGTTGCTGAAAAGGCGACCCCTGATGGTGGGCCAGGCAGTGTTTCCATACAGCTCCTTTGAGCCTCAAAACAGCTCTGTGAGCTGGTGGCTATTGGTTACCTCCCTATAGGTAAGGAGAGGGAGGCCCAGAGAGGTTAAGACACTCGTCTGAGGTCACAGAGCCAGGCAGCCTGTCCCAGAGACCAGGTTCTCAAGCGCGACCCCTAGCTGCCTGCTCTGCTGCACACCTGCGACTCCTTCCCCATGTCTCCGGGGCTCGCCCAGTGGGACTGGCTCTCCCGGGGGATCGTCCGTGCCACAGCTTTCCAAGCAGATGCCGTTCAGCTCATTCGAACCCAGCGCTGGGTGTCTAATTCCCCAGAAGCTTAGTTGCTTGCCTGGAGAGCCTGTCTGTGGACAGCCTACCAGACCATAACCACACGGTCGTGAGACTTTAAGATTCACAGACCCAGAGATGAGTGAGTGGGAACGAGATGAAATAGGTCCGTCTCATGAGTACCGCCTGTGCTTTCATGAGCGTCTTTTTAAAGTATATTTTTATTATGGGCAAAAATATGTAACATAAACTTAGCCATTTCAACCACTGTCAAGTGCACAGGGCAGTCACACTAATTATAGTCACAAGATTGCGCAACCACCGCTCCTCTTTCCGAAGCCTTTCATCACCCCACTGAGAAACTCTGTGCCCATGAAGCAACGGCTCCTCCTCCCCACGGCTCCTGGTAACTTCTGTTCCACTTTCTGTTTCTGTGCATTTGACTAGTCCAGGCACTTCCCCTCAGTGCAACTGGCCCGTTCCAGTGCTTCTGCGTCTGGTTCCTCTCATTCACCGACACGTTTCAGGTATCAGAACGTCACGCCTTTTCAAGGCTGAATAAGCAACATCCCGTGGGTGCACGGCCCCACTGCGAGTCTTCACTCACATGTCAATGGACACCGTTGTTTATACCTTTGTGCGGCTCTTGTGAATAGTGTGGCAATGAACATGGGTGTGTGGGTTTCTGTTTGAGCTCCTGTTCAATTTTTGTTTTTTGCACGGGATGAGGGGTTCCACCTAGAAGTAGAATTGCTGGGTCTTGTGATGACTCTATGTTTAACTTTTTGAGGAACGGTCATCTTTCCAAAAAGGAGGAAAAGAAGTAGACAAAGAAAAAAAAAAAACATCTAAATCTCACAGCCCAGCTCAGGATAGGTGCTTAACACCAACTAGGCTGTTCTCTTCCTATCAGGGATTCCATCTGTGGTTCTGCTAGGTGGAGCATTCCAGAAAGAGAGACTGAGAAAAACACAGTTTCGGAGTTGCTCTTAAAGCAAGTCTTTTCTTTCAGAGGTCCTCATGCATTTCTCTAGAATTTGAAATAATGTGTTTAAACCATGCTTGATAGTCAGGCAAGATACGTCTCTTTCTCCAGGCATCTCCTTGTTTTCCTGGTTAAGGATATGAATATCCTCAGGACCCCGCACAGTTGAGCCTAGACCAACACTAGGCCGGCTGCATGGATACTTCCCTCTGTTTCCTTCAATTTCAGACTTCCTGGCTCGACCACAATGAGGCCATCGACTTTCCTCCCGAGACCTCCCTT